AATTTTTTTGGCGCATAAGCTTTCGGGGCCTCCACCCCCTTTCTTCTGGCCTGTAGCCCACGAAAGCTTATGCTCTAATAAATTTGTTAGTCTCTAAGGTGCCACAAGTACTCCTGTTCTTCTTTTTGCGGATACAGACTAACACGGCTGCTACTCTGTACCCTAATGGGGACTATATCTCTGCAAACAAGAGGATACATATATTACCAATTGTTAAGCAACCAAATACTATCCTAACGGGGACTATACAAGTATGATAGACAGAAATAATGCTTTCCCTATGAAAATAAGAACATAGGATCTGATGTCCCAGATCAAACCATTAGTCCATCAAGTCCAGTATCTGGACTCTGGCAGTGGTCAATACCAATTACCTTAAAAAGAATGTAAGAAACCAAAACCCCTAATTCATCCATGTTCATTGCTATACAAGGGGTTTAAAAACTCACTCCTGGCCTTTGCAAGCGATCAGCTTACATCCTGAAGTTTAGTGCTATGTAGTCAGAATGCTGAACAGTAAATCTCTAAAGGCTGATGTGTAAATGTTTTTTGTCACGTTTGTATCTGAGAAAATGAGAAAGAAAGGAAGCAGCATTGCAACACTGTCAAGTCAATTCACATTATAAAATCCTAACCAGCACTTTGCAGAAAGAAAGCTTGCTGTAGTGGGCTCCCACACATGTACTTTGCAATAACAATCCATATAAGGAAAGCAGGACATGTAGTATGTTAAAAACAAAATGAAGGATTATTATTAAATGCTCTGGTAAGTTATTTTTAAATACAGGAATGTCCTGTATGATTGTTTTCAATTATTATTTTTTTAAATCTGTACATAAGGATTTAATTTTACCGGATGTATGCTGACACAAAAAGCAAGATATTGGGCATTCCAAAATATGCAACTGATGAGCGCAGCACTCACAATGCTATATCCTGTTACTTAATGAATAAACATGATTTTGTCTTCTTCCTCACAGAGAAAACACCTAGTACCTTTAAGTTACACGAGCTTTTCCAGTAACTAGTAGGTCTGTATTGTAAGTTAAAAGTGATCATTTGGAGAATTATGTGATCAAATAAAGATTTTAATGACACAAGCCAAAAATTGAAGCATTAAGTACCAATGCTGGTCAACATCTTATCAGTACAGCCCTCTAGATGAGTCACTTTTTTCCCTCAAATAAATAATTTGTTCAGTTACTCTGTTCAACTCCCTCTTCACTTTAGGTTGCAATTTTCAAAAGCAGCAACGGGAATCAGAACATGTTCCTTTGAAAGTCAACAGGACTTGTGCCCCCAACTTACTTCGGCACTTCTGAAAATCCCATCTTTAAAAGTTTGGAAATCTAGTTGCCAAATGCAGGTAGAGGAGAAGCCATCAGGTTAGTTTGAGTTTTCACTTTAACCTCTGTGAGCCTCAATCTTCCCATGTGCTCAAGGGGGGGCAGGCGGAATCACACTTACCCTGCTTTATAAAGTACTTTCAAATGCACAAATGTAAAAGAGCTGCATAAGTCCTAAGTATTATTAATGATTATTATTATTATGCATTTTATTCACAACAAATAATTACGGCTAGCTAAAGTAAGAAGAAACTATAAAGATTTTAAAAATCTAATCACTAGTTTTAGAAGAGTTTAACTTTGCTGCTTTCCTTTTAAAGCAATGTTTTCCTGTGGATGCCTTGGGCTTGAGGCCCCTTTCGGCAGCTCAGGAGACTGAGAGCTTTAAGTTCCAAGGACAGCTTTATAAAACCAATTTAAATTACAGGATTTCATTACAGAGTTTGATCCTATGCAGCAGCAACAACAAAAGAGTACACTGTACTAGCCGAAGCTGAATGTTTTTTAAACAGGCAACGCACACAAAGGGTTACCAGCCAGAGGGGAAAAAAAGAGTCATAAAAAGGGGGCCTCTCACTGCAGCCACAGAGGAGGTACCATATAACCATAAGGAGAGTAAATTTAGAACGGGAGGCCTACTGCATTAGAGGGATTCCAGACATTCCTGCCTTAGCAATGCTGCAGAGCTGAAAGGGGCTGCCATCTTAAATAGCCAAAGCTGGTAAACAAGGTCATGACATCACATAGATTCTACAGCAACAGAATCAACAAGAGCTTACAGGTAGGTATCAGCCTTGACCTTTTACATGGCAACTGCGTTTTTCTTTAAGAAAAAAAAAAAAGTGTGTGTGTGGGGGGGAGAAATAAAAAATATAGATAAATAATCTTTTGATTACAAATATATAAAGCTATATTGGCATTCAGATTTCTGTTTTAAGCATACAGGCCTACTTTGGAAACAAACAGACAAAGCCACATTTTAAACTAAACACAAACAAGTGGCAATTTCATTTTGTTGGATTTTTTGTTCTCATAAAAAAGTCTGAGCCGGCTCCTCGGCTGGTGTAAATCAGTGTGTCTCCGTTCCTGTCAATGGAGCGCCACTGATTCACACCAGCTGAGGATTTGATCCTTAAAATGAAAAGTAATAGTTAGAGATGAATATAAAGCAAGCAGGCACTAAAACCTGACATGCAGCACTCCTTGTTACTCCTGCCTGGAATCCCATATAGCTCTGTCAAATAACCTAAACTATCCTGTTTCAGTCTTGAACCCCAAATGCACCTCAGTTCTTTCCTGCAGTACCCCTCTTCCCAATACATACCCCTGCTATTCCAGCCCTAGCTTTTTCCAGAACAGAAATAGTTAACTGTGCTGAATTATGTGGTGGTTTTGTGAAGTGAACGAATACCTCTCTCTTGGAGGAAAAACTGCAGCCAAACTCACTTCACCTGGAATCCAAGGCAGATCATAACATAGGTTTCTTGATGGGAAATAACAACATGCATAAGGTCTATTTTTAAAGCCATAGCTCCAGTCACGTATAGGATGGGAGACTATTTTCCACCTTGAACTAAAATTGTGATGTTTTGTACATTAGACACAGACCTTGTCACTACTGAACCAGCAAGAATTTCACTGCATGGGTTGAAGTAAGCAGGAAATAGTTTTCCATAGCCAAAATAATTTATTCTTCTCAGCACAACAGAAAACACATGGTGCACCCTCTTGTATGTGAAATTCTACAAATGAAACTATAAGTTGTTATAATACTGAAGGTAAACCAAATCCCCCCAATCAAGACAACTATAATAAGGATTCAGTCTAACTTGCACAATCAGAGAAAAGTGATGCAGCTTAATCCTGGTTCCTACCACAATT